CTCTCTCTCTCTCTCTCTCTCTCTCTCTCTCTCTCTCTCTCTCTCTCTGTGTCTCTCTGTCTCACATATACACTCTCTCTAACTCTCCCTCCCTCCCTCCCCCTCCCCCTTCCCCCCTTCTCTCTCTATCTCACTCCAGAACTCCTTCTTTCCTTCTTTCTCTCTCTCTCTCTCTCTCTCTCATCTCTCTCGTTCTCGCTCTCTCTACTTGCAGATAACTCGCATCGAGTTTGTCCATTCCAAGCGTCTCATCTATCGCGACGTGAAGCCAGAGAACTTCCTCATCGGCCGGCAGGCGACGAAGCGCGAGCGGCTGCTGCAGGTCGTCGACTTTGGCCTCGCGAAGGAGTACATCGACCCGGAGACGTGCAAGCACATCCCCTACCGCGAGCACAAGAGCCTCACGGGCACCGCGCGCTACATGAGCATCAACACACATCTAGGAAAAGGTGCGAGAGCCAGAGAGGTAGCAGGTAGAGGCTACACACGACGCGGCAGTGGCTGCTGATGATGGTGGTGGTGATCATGATGATGATGATGTTAATGACGCTGTTGTTGTTGCTGCTGCTGGTGGTTCGGGGTGGTTGTCGGCGACGTTGGTTACGCTAGTATTATGATATTTCGTACAAAATTTTCTAAATGTCAGGGGCCCGTTGTCAGAAACATCGTAAAGTTAATGCTAACGTTAACGCTAAGATAACACTTACGACTAATGTTAATGTACGCGAGGAGCGTTGACAGAAACACATCGCAGCTATTAGAAAACTTACGATAACAGGAACTTCATCACAAGGCTGCTGATTGGATGAGAATCGATCACAAAATTCAAAATCATAAACATTTATTGTACATCACAGTAATTTATGCATATTATGATGGCTAACTACATATAAATAATATTTGATGAAAAACGACGAGGTCATGAATTTATTCTGCACAACAAGACAAATTCTCACACTGTAACGCGAGATGCGAGAGTCGTGGCAAGCGTGGCAAACCTTTAAAACAAGAGAACACATGCCATACGCCATTTGTAAATGTATTGTTTTGTTTTATTAGCGGTAGATAATTAATGATTTTGACATGTTTTTCAAGAAAAACACACATTTTATTCATTATTATACAATATAATATCACTATAATTGTAATTCGTAGTGTAAATGTGATATTTTCAACTTAATATTAAAGTTACGAGAGGGTCTGGGCTCTCGTAATGTTAAGAGGATATTTGCGAGGAGTTTTTGTTCTCGTAACATTACGATGTTTCAGTCAACGGTTAACGAGTGGAAGTTAATATGTTAAGACTAATGTTTCTGACAACGGGGCCCTGTGCATCGATCACAAGGCTCTGTGAGGGTAATCGCAAATACTTGACATTGTTCAATCGGCTGTGTGTGTTTACTTTGTTACCTCCGCCCAACGGAGTTGGAGGAGGTTATGTTTTCACTCTCGTGTGCGTGTGTTAGTGTATTCGTGTGTTTGCGCGATCGATATTAGCGCGTCAGAGAGCGAGCCAGCGCAGCGAACCAGTGAGCTTGTACATGTAAGCGAGCAGCAAGCCAGCAAGCCAGCGTGTACATGTCAGTATGCTGGCGTATATCGTGGCTTATTCGTGTGTTCGTCAGTCGTATGGCGTATGTCGCTGGCGGAGGTATGCACTCTCTGTGAGTGCACTCTGTCTACCGTATATGATCGCATAATAACTGCAAATTTGGCCTCAGATTTCAACCCTGTATTTGCTCTGCAGTTTATAAGTGCGCCATACAGTGAGGGGAAATATACTAGGCGCAATACTTGGTTACCCGATTCAAATTGAGGTGCGGCTTATAGGCGCCCGCAGTTATTACGCGATCATATACAGTAGTTATACATTGTGTTGTGTTGTGTTGCTGTTACAGAGCAGAGTAGAAGAGATGACTTGGAGGCACTAGGGCACATGTTCATTTATTTCCTGCGTGGAAGCTTGCCCTGGCAGGGCCTAAAGGCCGACACACTGAAAGAGCGCTACCAGAAGATAGGCGATACAAAGCGAGCCACTCCCATCGAAGACCTATGTGAATCCTACCCAGGTACACTTGCTGACCAAAACCATGATCAATTTAATTTAATACAATACTTGTATGCGCTAATGGGTGTATACAGTGCTATATACAATGGACAGGGACCCTCGTGCATGACAATGTAGGTGAGAAATTTCATTAACCTGCTATGATAGTAATAATATTAATAATAATAATAATAATAATAAATATTATTACTATTATTATTCATATTGTTGTTGTTGTTGTTGTTGTTGTTGTTGTTGTTGTTGTTGTTGTTGTTGTTGTTGTTGTTGTTGTTGTCATAATAATGTGCTGATAACAATGATTTTAGGTTGATAAAACATGTTACTTCCAATGAGATATTATCTGGAGTGTATAATAATAGAGGAGTATGACTCGCTCAAAACACAAGAAATTCAACATTTCTATGCCTTAATTTACTTATGATTTATTACGTGAAATCCAATAAAAATGACGTCAGAACTAGCGTTGTAAATCCAACTTGCCCACACACTTTACTTTGTATCGATACCGCTTCTTATTATGTAATTATAGCTGCGAACGTCAGACATGGTTTTGGTCATTGACATGATCAATTGGCGATCGTTTCCACGCGTTTGTGCGAACAAGAGGCAGCTTTCTCTGAGACTCCTGTTGGCGGGATTCAGCAGGGATTTGCAACTCGCAAATTCTCGCAAGATCACATGGTAAAAACTGCCAACACGAAAAGTTTTTACGGATTATTTTATATAACTGTATGCAATATGACATCTGTATATCTGCACTCGCAGCCGTGGCGCGGGTCAGAGCCAGCGATCAGAGCCCGCTACTAATTTGCGAGTTGCAAATCCCTGCCGAACCCTGCCAACAGGTGTCGCAGAGCGAGCTGCCTCTTGTTCCCGCAATCGCACGGAAATGATTGCCAATTTACCATGTCAATAACTAAAACCATGTCTGACGTTCGAAGCTATAACTACATAATAAGAAGCGGTATTGATACAAAGTAAAGTGTGAAGGCAGTTGGATGTACAATGCTAGTCCTGATTTCAGATTTATTGGGTTTCGTGTAAGAAATCATAGGTAAAATAAAGTATGGAAATGTTGAATTTCTTGTGTTTCGAGCAAGTCATACTCCTCTATTATTATACACTCGTAATAATATCACATAATATATATATATTATATACTAATCATAATGTCAAATAAAATTGCAACAGGCACAGATATTTCATGACCTGCTGCAAGCTAGCAGGCGCAGCAGCAAAAAAATTAGCGCACACCCGTCACAGTTAATGGTTTGCTTGGTATTAACGTACGTGTGTTACATGGCGAGGGAAAAATACAATACATGGTGTTTTCTTGCTTACAACCCTGAAGTCATTACTGGGTACAGTGTAAAAAACGATAGAGTCAAGCGATTGATGACGGTGTTGCACGTGCTGCCATCTATGGGAGAAGATTCAGTACCTCTGCAGGTGTACAATCATTTCTGAGTTTAACAACCCCCTTCATGTTTAAAACCATGCAGAGTCTTAATGTACCTGGGATTCCCCTTTATGTTATTGCCTTCGTGGGAACACTTGTCTCCCTCCCTGCTACAGTTCTACACACACCTCATACATGGTTTTATAACTATTTCCTCCCAACAGATATCGCTATGTCCCTAATGCACAGGTTTATACTGTTGATTTTATTTAATAGATTATTTATTATATTATTGAGATAGAAGAGAGAAGAGAGTATAGAGAGAGGAAGAGAGAGAGAGAGCGAGGGAGGAGGGAGGGAGGGAGGGAGGGAGCGAGGAGGGACAGGTAGAGATGAGAAGAGATGAGCAGAGAGAGAAGAGAGAGAGAGAGAAAAAAAAAAGGAGGGAGAGAGGGAGGTGAAGAGATAGTGAGAAATAGAGAGAAAGAGAGAAATGAGAGAGAGAAAGGAGAGGAGGAGCCGGGAGAAAAGAATAGAGCGAGAGAGAGCGAGAGGAGAGAGAGCAGAGAGACTAAGGCATGAAGGGAGAGGGGATGGAGGAAAGAGGGGAGCGGGAGATAGCAGTACGATGCGATGTCGATCGTTCGCTGTAGAGCTTTTACGATGAGAGAGACAGGAGATGCTGTGATATAGCGAGATGAGTTGAGAAGTGAGTAGCTGAGTGAGTGAGTGTGAGAGTAAGTGAGTGAGTGGTGAGTGAGGTGAGTTAGTAAGAAGAGAAGAGGAGAAGAGCGTGCGTGATGAAGACTGCAAAAGAGAGAGTGAGAGATGAATAAAGAGAGAGAGAGTAGAGAGAGAGAGAAGAGGAGTAGCGACTAGAAGAGAGAGCAGAGAGAGAGAGAATGAAGGAGACGTAGAGAGAGTAGGAGAGAGAGTGAGAAGAAAGAGGAAAAGATAAGAGAGAGATGAGAGAGAGAGAGAGAGAGATAGAGAGAATATATAAGGTGGAGATAAAGATGAGGAGGGAGAGAGGATAGTGTAGAAAGAGAGAGTAAAAGAGAGAAAGAGAGAAGAGAGAGAGGGGATCTAGAGGAGGGCGGGAGGTAGATGAAGGGATGAGAGGCGAGAGAGAGAGAGAGATAGGCAGAGAGAGGAGAGGAACGGGAGAGCGCAGAGGGAGATCGGAGAGGGAGATGAGCTGAGGGAGTAGGGAGAGAGAAGAAGAAATGGTTGATGATAGAGCGAGAGTGGAGTGAGTGAGTTG